GGCAGCAAAATATCAATTTTGGAAATCTAACTCAGTGGATAATTATTTGCATTTACGAAAGGATTCACAAAAGAGCATCTTCAACTAGTCGATTTCCCTTGAGCATTTAAAATGTTTTATTTACAAATGTTTGTAAATGTTACATTTATTTACAAATGTTTGTACATTTTGGTAACACCTATTATATAAAATGAGAGACATATGTAGTGCTCTTTTTGCTCTAAGGCAAATTTTTTTTCTTGTTTTTTTAAAGCATTTTTGTATTGAAGTATAACATGGAAACCATAGTGTAACTTAAACATTTGTTGCGACATAATAAATGTTTGTTGTTTTAAGCTGATAAATTTAAGGGCCATTTGTTATGCAGCAATAGACAACTAATAGACTCTCTTTTATTGTCACTTTATTTTCACTCCCACCTTTGCTCAGTCTCCCTCCAGTATCTTAATTTATAGTTTGTATTCTTAGGGCGATGACTGACATATTTTTTCTTAAGTTTTCCATTTTCACTATATTAATTTACTTATTTAACTACTTTGTTGAGTGGTATAATTCACAATAAAATTGGCTGACACATTTTAAAAGATGAATTTAACTTTATTTTGTCCCCCAAATCTGGAGTAACCATGTAGTAACAAAGAAAAACTAGCCCAAAATTAAATAAACAAAACTTTCTTTAAAGGCAAACAAATTTAGGAAGAAACATTAACACTTCTAATAATAACATATGAATCTTTTCACATCCTGGTACAGAACAAGAAAATCTAATGAGACACCTTCTGTTATGGATAAAACTAACTCTCCTAATATTTTCACCAAAAAATTAGTCATTAAAACTCCTTTTAAATCTATTGAGTGCAGAACATTCTCATCATACATAGCTATCAAGGGACTAGAATTGGGGACAGCTGTTGGGAGTACACAGGGAGAGCAAATAGGTGTCATATAGTGATGGCTTCCAATAATATTAATGGCTTCCTGCAGCCACGTGACTAGAAGGATCCAGAGGGAGCATCTGGGCTCAGTTAGTTCATAGTATCTGCCACAAGTTTGGGAGTGAGAAGTGGAGGCATTTCAGCCAGGTGTTTGCCTATCCAGGAGGGGTAAATGTTGGTTTCATTAATTCTAGCATCATTTCCTTCCAGCAGTCGTAATTTAAAATACAGGTTAGATGTTGTTGTAGGTGCTGTCGAGTCAGTTTCAACTCATAAAGACCCTATGTACAACAGAAAGAAACGTTGTTTGGTTCTGTGTCATCCTCACAATTGTTGGTATGTTTGAGCCCAGTGTTGCAGCCACTCTGTCAATCCATCTCGTTGAGGGGTTTCCTCTTTTTTGCTGACCCTCTACTTTACCAAGCATGATGTCCTTCTCTAGGGACTGGTCCCTCCTGATAACATGTCCAAAGTATGTGAAACGAAGTCTTGCCATCCTCACTTCTAAGGAGCATTCTGGCTGTACTTCTTTCAAGATAGATTTGTTCGTTCTTCTGGCAGTCCATGGTATATTCAATATTCTTTGCCAACACCATAACTCAAATGCATCAATTATTCGGTCTTCCTTACTCAGTGTCCAGCTTTTGCATGCATATGAAACAATTGAAAATACCATGGCTTGGGTCAGGTGCACCTTAGTCCTCAAAGTGACATCTTTGCTTTTTAACTCTTTAAACAAGTCTCTTGCAGCAGATTTACTAAATGCAATACATCATTTAATTTCTTGACTGCTGCTTCCATGGGCATTGATTGTGGATCCAAGTAAAATGAAATCCTTCACAGTGTCAGTCTTTTCTCCGTTTATCATGAGTTGCTTATTGGTCCAGTTGTGAGGATTTCTATTTTCTTTATGTTGAAGTGCAATCCATGCTGAAGGCTGTGGTCTTTGATCTTCATCAGTAAGTGCTTCAAGTCTTCACTTTCAGCAAGCAAGGCTGTGTCATCTGTATATTGCAGGTTGTTAAGGGGACTTCCTCCAATCCTAATGCTGTCTTCTTCATATAGTCCAGATGCTTGGATTATTTGCTCAACGTACAGATTGAATAAGCATAGTCAAAGGATACAACCCTGACGCACACTGTTCCTGATTTTAAACCATTCTGTATCCCCTTGTTCTGTTCGAACACTACCTCTTGGTCCATGTATAGGTTCTGCATGAACACAATTAAGTGTTCTGGAATTTCCATTCTTCGCAATGTTATCCATAATTTTTTATGATCCACACATCCAATGCCTTTGCGTAGTCAATAAAACACAGGTAAATATCTTTCTGGTATTTTCTGTTTTTAGCCAAGATACATCTGACATCAGCAAAGATATCCCTCATTCCATGTCCTCTTCTGAATCTGGTTTGAATTTCTGGCAGTTCCCTGTCGATGTACTGCCGCAACAGTTTTTGAATGATCTTTAGCAAAAATTTACTTGCGTGTGATATTAATGATATTGTTTGATAATTTCTGCGTTCTGTTGGCTCACCTTTCTTGGGAATGGACACAAATATGGTTAGTATTGATCAGAAAATATTGCGATTGAATCAAACAATGGCTATACATTGACCTATATAACGCTATTTGGTGGCTTTAGTGTCCTTTGAAAAAACAGAACTGAAGAACAGTTCATGTTATCATTCCTTGCCTCTTAGGGGAAAGGAGACAAACGGTTACCTTTGGTAGGTATACAGGGTCGCTATGAGTCGGAATTGACTCGATGGCAATATGTCAACAGGTTAGGCATATTCCTTTTTTTCCCCTCCCCTGAAAAGGACATTACAACCTTGCTGTCCGGTGACTGTCCAGCTATGAAAACTATGCTCCTACCCCAGAAGGGCATCTTGAGAACAGAAAAGTGGCAGTTGAAGGACAATGTGGTACTCCTCATTCAGCTCATTGGTCTAGCATCTTTTATGGTGTGAGACTTTCTCATTTAGTCAATTGTCCATTCATTCATAAAAAATAAAACAAAAAACCAGTACTGAGTGCCTTCTATGTACCAGGCACTGTTTTAGGAATTCACGATGAGCAGTGAACAAAACAGTGGAGCTGCTGCAGAAAGAGTCAAGCATGGTTTTTGTACATATTCCTCCAAGGCTGACACTCTCTGGAGCTAACCTAGACTGATTCATGTTAGTAAGATGGTATAGTTCTCCGCTACTGAGGAACAGCTTCCAGGTCAAACTGTGCATCCTTTCTCCACAATTTGGGAACCTCAATATAGCAGGAAAACTGAGAGAAAAAGCAAAACATGGATGTGCCTCCTTTGCTTTTACACAAGGCTCAGGATCCTGGATGCTGGCAGTCATGGATTGAATTATATCCCCCAAAAAATGTGTATATAAATTTGGCTGGGCCATGATTCCCAGTATTGTGTGGTTGTCCTCCATTTTGTGATTGTAATTTTATGTTAAAGAGGATTAGGGTGAGATTGCAACACCCTTACCCAGGTCATATCCCTGATTCTATGTAATGGGAGTTTCCTGCACCACCTTTTATCTTACAAGAGATAAAAGGAAAGGGAAGCAAGCAGGGAGTTGGGGACCTCATACCACCAAGAAAGCAGTGCCAGGAACAGAGTACATCCTTTGGACCTGGGATCCCCGTGCGGAGAAGCTCCTAGTCAGGGGGAACATTAATAAGAAGGCCGACAGAGAGAGAAAGCCTTCCTCTGGAGCTGACGCCCTGAATTTGGACTTGCAGCCTACTTTACTGTGAGGAAATAAACTTCTCTTTGTTAAAGCCATCCACCTGTGGTATTTCTATTATAGCAGCACTAGATGACTAAGACACTGGTCATTTCTTTCTTCAAACTGCCCACTCCCACCCTCTCAGGGCATCATTGCCTGGGATTTCTCCTCACTGCTAGGGAGTTACAGCCACTTTTAATATATCATGAGATGAAGCCACAGTCATGCTATAGACTCCATGCAGCTTAGAAATAACCTCACTGAACAATGACACAGACCTAAGCACCACCATTCAGTCCTCTCTGTGCCTAGCATGAGCATTTTCAAAGAACCAGACTCAACCACCACCCTGGGCAGGGTACCAGCTTCAACAACTGAGTTTGTGTCACAATCCCATGGTTCACTGGGGGCAAAAGGAAGGCAGGGTTCAGCAGTGTTCCAAAAATCAGTGGTGCTCAAGGTTGAGAGGCATAGCAGTCTTTCCAGGCACAGGACACCTGTGTCAAAAGGAAGGGTAGGAAACGAGATGCAAGTGGTTGGGAATGGCAAGAAGTCTAGACAAAATGATCAGTGGTTGGCGGAAAAACCAATTTGGGATAAAAAGAAAAAATTCTTTATTGTAAAAACGAATACTGAGGTGTAGACGTATTGCCATGTTGACCCTAACAATGAAATGGACCTTATGCTATGTGACAGAATGAGGGAGTGAGGGACGAATGAAGAGGGTTATTCCCATGGAATGCCTGAACATGATCTCTCACAGACAGGGAGAACCCTTGGCCAACAGAACCATTAACAATTGTCTGCTCCCTTTGTCTGTTACAAGAAACGTGAGTCATTCCACTAAAACTCAGCTATTGGCAGAAGGGAAATCTAATGTCTGACTTGTGAGGCAAAAAGAACCAGCTGCTCCAGCCTCTGGGACTCAATTAGAACCTCCTATTTCAAGTTAAGTTCTCAGCTGTCCCACAGCTCAGGAAAAAGGGGATGAACCCAGTCACTCTCTCCTCTACAAACATGCTCCAGCCAACAGCAGGATTGTTCCAGATTTGATCAGCTTCTTAAATGCATTAGGAGTTGAAATTAGATACGCCAGTGTGATTTAGGAGCAGGGCTTCGAACCAGTTCATTCCAGTTCGCACCCCTGCTGAGAATTTCATTTCTAAGAAGGTACCAGGCGATGCTAATACTGTTAGTTAGGGAGTAGGGACCAATTCTGAGAACCACTAGTAAAGCAGCAGGTCTCAAAATGTTATTATACATAAGAATCACCTGGGGATCAGACTGAATCAGAATCTACATTTAAACAATAATCCCCAGGTGATTCTTATGTATAATAAATTTTGCGACCCGCTGCTCTACTAGTGGTTCTCAGAATTGGTCCCTACTCCCTAAGCAACAACATTAACTCTCAGAATTGGTCCCTACTTCCTAACCAGCAGCATTAGTATCTCCTGGTACTTGTTAGAAATGAAAATTCTCAGAAGGAGTGCAAACTGGTTTGAAGCCCTGTTTAGGAGCAAGAGACGGACCAGGTGAAATCAGGTTGGGAGAACAAATGAGATGAGAGTAACATGAGTGAAGGCGTGAGGTCCAGCTTGCAACAGAAAAGTTTTCTAGTCTCCCCCAAATGCCAGAAAGCCTACATCCACGGGCCCCATGCCCCAGTGCCCGCTGGGTCACAGCGGGGGTCCTGAGCAGGGTAGAACACAGGCACTGAGTGTCTGTGGTAGAACTGCAGCCGGGAAAGGAGCTGCTTGATGATATGGGGATATTCTCTCGACAGGTCATGTCTTTCTTCAGGGTCCTGATCAATATCAAAGAGCCAGAGAGTTTTGGTTGGTGGGTCCAATGATGGTATCTCAGAAACACTGGATTGAGACGGTGGTGGGAACCAGTGACCACAACCTGGCAAAGACATGAAACAGTTTATTGAGGGAGACACATTGTAGGCAGGTTCTAACTTCAGAGAGGTAGTCTAGGGGTCAAGCTGAGCTGGGCTGCGGGCACATAAAAAAGATGCAGCCCTTGATTACCATTTCTAGATCTGTCTCACACTCCCATCTCTGGTGCTTTAACTGTTCATATCTCACAATTTCACAACCAGGTGCACCCGGGAATGTGACTATCCGTTTGTGTATGTGTATGGGGGGGTGGTTAATTGTCACAATGACTGGGGGGTGCTACTGGCATTTAGTGGTCAGGGGCTATGGGTGCTAAAATGTCCTGGATGCATGGGATGATCCCAAACAATGAAGAATTGTCTTGTCCCAGATGCCAAGAATGCCCTCATTAGAAGCACTGCTTAACTGCATCGCAGCCTTAACCATTATACCACATACTTAAAAAGTACTGAAAGGATGTCACTTTTAGAGAATGTGCTCAGGGGAAGCAACCTCCTCCCCTAGCTGCATCACTGATTGAGGGTGTAGCTCTTAGAGATTCTCTTTGCCAGCTAGATGTGCTGTGCCTTGATAGACACACATATCTGACCTCTTCATTTTCCACAAAGCATTTGAGTGGAATTCTTCTCATGCCCCTATAGTTAATCCCCCACCCCCACCTCCTTCTTTTGGCAGGCGTGGGTGGTCAGAACCAGTAGTTTGAACCCAGTCTCCTCATTCAGCAGCCCTGGAGACATGTTTTGTAAAAGGAAGTTGCTACTTCTATTAGTTTCTCCTGACATTCTGGTGGGAAAGCCTGTAGTAAACTTGGACCCTCCATCCCAACAATGGAAGCTGCGTGACTGGGAACAGGCTGAGTCTTAAATGAAGGAAAAGAAAACCATCAACAAAGAGTTGTCTTCTTGTGACACGTACCAGCAGGGGTCATGAAAGATTTTAAAGACAACTTAATATTCCAGGTGTCTGAGCAGAATGAGGAGAGCTGGTCAGGCTTAGGAGTGTTGAGGGGTCAGGTAAGAAGGGATGGGAATAGAGATAACAGGAGATAGAAAGTGGTTAGAGATAGAGTGATAATGTCCTCACTTCCCAGACAAATGGTCGAGGCAACAGACACCCAGGAGCACGGATAGACTTGAGATCCTGCCTTGCCTGCTACAGGTGGGGAGTTTGCTAAGCTAAGCATTCTACCTGGGTAGCCCGTCAGGAGTTTCCAGTTCCCGTGTCTAATCGCAGCATGGAAAGATGTGTTGAAGGCTGAGTATTCTGGGAAAGAAGAATCACCCTTTGCTGGAACCACGCTGTTCCCAGGACCTAAGAAGAAATAGTTTGGGAGAATTAGATAGCTATTATTGAACGTGTCGTTATAAATCAGCATTTTATATCCCTCTTGCAGAACAGTAGCTTTTATTCGACATTGGAGCACAAATGTGTATCCTGCCATAGAAACGAATCTTTTATTAAATATAAACAGAAAGCTATAGTTACATTAAATGTCAGTCATAAACCACCACAAATATAAAAGGAAATCCCAAAGAGATTAGAACACTAATTCATCCTTAAAATCACTGTGCTCTGCCAACATGCAGCTGGCCATATGCAGAACAGTGTTCTTTTACAGCAGCGTCGTTTTTTTGTTTTGTTTTGCTGTTAAGAAAAGGTCGAATAAAATAAATACACTTTCTGTGTGTACTTATACCTATGTAGCTAATAATTATAAAATGTACATTTTAATTGAGTCTATCTCAAAATATGAGGGTTCAAACATGCCATGAAATATAGTACATATACTTATTTTTTTAAGCCACATTTACGAAATCTAAAAGTAAGTCAGCAAAGCTTGGTTAACTATTCAAACAGGGCAACTATGTACATAAGAATAAATTTGGTGTCCAAATTACTGGTTGGTATATAGACTGCATTAATTTATTATGTTAAGGTATTATATTAATTGGTCATAAAGTTTTTATGGGTAGCAATAACTAACACCTATTCCTTTTCCTCTCTTGAGTTTGGAGCCAGTTGAGAGCAGGGATGGATTTCCCAATAAGCAAGGTAAACATGTGCTTGCCGGTGCTTACCGGAAAAGAAACTGCAAATCAAGTACTTTACTATTTTTGTGAAGTTTGCAAAACTGATTTTTCTAATGCAGAGGCCAGTCCTATGACAATGCTGCCAATATGTCAGGGCGCAGGGATAGATTACCCAATATCAAGGTAAGCACATGGTTGTCTGTGCTTATTGCATACCATGTGCTGCGCATTCCTTAATCTTGTAGCCTACAAGATTAAGTAATCCACCTGTGGTTGAGAGGTAGCAGCCAGGCACATGGAGCTAGAAATATTGCCTTTATTATTGATACAGGTGACTGGAAAGAACATGGCTTCAAATCTGCAGCAGAGAGGATTTGCTAGTAATTGTCCCCTGACTTAGGAAGAGGGGTCCCTGGGTGGTACAAATGGTTTGTGCTTGGCTACTAACTGGCAGCTGGGAGGTTGAAGGTTGGAAGCCACCCAGCAGCACCGTGGAACAAAGGCTTGGTGATTTGCTTCCATAAGATTACAGCCATTGAAAACTCTATGCAGCACAGCTCCACTCTAAAGCTCATGGTGTCGCCATGAACCAGAATCGACTTGACAGCAACATTTTTTTAACTTAGAAACACTTAGCCACTCATCACTGATCTTGTTGGACAATCTCTGGCCTCCTCAGAGCACACAGCAGAGAGCAGAGCAGAGCTTATATACATTCTGTGGACAGGTTGGCTCCAAAATTAAACAAAGGGGTTTTCTTGTGACACATACCAGGAAGGGTCATGAAAGACTTTAAAGACAGCATGCTCAGTTCTTTCTTTTGGATAATTTGCTCCTTGTCTACTGGTGGAGAGGGATGAATGAGGTGCAGCCAGCAAGGCTAAACACTACTCCAGTTGAAGACTCTGTGGAAATGTGAGGGCAAGCTATGGAGGTTCCCCTCCTCGTTCTCCTATCTGTGCCTATTTAAAAGCCTCAACTTAAGCCCTAGCTGCATAATATTTAGTCTGTTTTAAGTCTACACTTAACTGTTAACTTTTCAAATATGGTTACAACAATCATCTTGGAAGCGCTTAAAACTACCAGCTCAAAAATTAATAGCCATAGTATATGACAGGTCTGTTAAAGTACAAATTCCATCAAGGCAGTCAATTCATCTGCCTGTTTTTCTTTTATAAAAGACATGAAGTCCAAAGCAGGACTTCTCTGCTCCTCCTGGTCTTAATGCAGAAGGTAGAAGCACAGTCGGTGGTGGAAAAGGAAGGAAGTCTCATTCTTTCTCAGTCTTTTGGAAAAAACATGGTAGAGACATGCCAAAGAGTCGAATAAACATTGGTGGTTTCAGACTTTCAGTCTTAACAATCACGCACCAACAAATCTTTAGCACCAGAGAGGAAAATATTTTTGACTTCTTGTTTCTATGTTTGTATGTATTTTGGCTTCAATACAAACGGATGCTTCTAGTGGTTGAGGTGCGTGAGGATGACTATCATAGGAAGTGCGTTCTTAATATACATACTGTGATAAAACTGTGAAACCTCATGATTTACTCCTCATAAGTTTGTATAAAGGCTATGTTTGGATAAATAAAACAAGTATGTTTTGTGAACATAAACAAAAAAAGGGAACTTAGCTATCTCAGCTAAACTCATACACATTTTTTCTTAAAAAAAAAACAGGAACATCAAAGAGCTAAACAATAAATAAGTCTAAGACTAAATAATGAAAGATGTTATTATCTCAACTTTACTTTTTTTTTATCTTGAGAAATTGAACAAAGAGAATTCTACAAAAAATAATATAACCAATACCCTATGAGCCATCACCCAGAATTAACAGATGCTAACATTTTGTCATATTTGCATTTTTTTTAAATAAAAGAAACAAGATAATGAAGTTGAACTCTCCTTTGTCCCCATCCTCAATCCCAGTCCCTTCAGCCTCTCCTCCAGAGGCTGCCGATATCATGAATTTAGTGTATCCCTCAGACATTTTAATATACGGTAATAGATGTGGTGTGTGTATGTGTGTGTGTGAAGGAATAATACACAGTTTTTTTTTTTTAATTTAAAAATTTGTATATGTGTGTCATGCTATACGGAGCCTTGGTGGCACAGTGGTTAAGAACTTGGCTGCTAACCAAAAGGTCGGCAGTTTGAATCCACCAGCCACTCCTTATAAACACTATGGGGCAGTTCTACTCTGTCTGATAGGGTTGCTGTGAGACAGAATCGACTTGATGGCAACAGGATTTTGGGTTATTGTGCGTGTTTTTTTAAGGAGCCCTGGTCGCACAGTGGTTAAAGCACTTGGCTAATAACTGGAAAGTCGGTAGTTCGAACTAACCAGCTGCTCTGAGGGAGAAAGATGTGGCAGTCTGCGTCCATAAAGATTTACAGCCTGGGAAATTCTATGGGGGTAGTTCCACTGTGTCCTACAGGGTCTCTATGAGTCGGAATTGACTCAACGGCAGTGGGCTTTATTGTGTTTTTTAGAGCCCTCTGACTATGTATGTATATATACTCCTTTTAACTGTTTAGTATTTCCCCATATGAACAACCACATTTTATTTATCCATTCCCCTGTTGACAAGCATTTAATTTGTTTTACTTTTTTTTTCTATTATGAACCATCCTCTTTCCGCACATGTGCAAGAGTTTCTTAGGGAGGATATGTGTCTGGAGGTAGAATTGCTCAGCTGTAAGGTGTATACATTTCCAACTTTACAACCCACATACTAATTGGCCCTACCACTGGTTGTATCCCCCTTTCTCCACATCCTGCACCTGATACTGTCAGACTTGAAAAAAAAAATTGCCTATTCAAATTTTTAAAGAACAACTTCACAGAGAAAAGTGAACAAAACACAAGTACAGGCTTGATGAACAATGACCTCTCCCATGCAAACTCCAGTCTAATCAAGAAACAGACCCCTACCAGGACTTGAGAAACCTATCTCAATCGGCATTCAATTACTACACTCCTCTCCCTAAAGGTAGCTACTATCCTAACTTTGAACAGAGGAGATTAGTTTTTGCCTGCTTTTGAACTTTGTATAAATGAAATCATACAGTATATACTCTTTTATTTCAGGCTTCTTTTGATGAATATGAGATTGTAAGATTCACTTATGTTGTTGTTTCCAGTACTTCATTTCATTGCTGGATAGTATTCCATTGTATGAAAATCTCACAACCTCTAACATTAAGATTTAAAACCTACCTAGAATTAATTTTTATATATAAAGTGAGGCAGGAATGAAGATTCTTTTTTTTTTTTTTTTAAAAAAAATAGAGCTATCAGTTGACCAAGCACCGTTTATTGAAAAGACTATTATTTTCCTATTCATCTGCAGTGACACCTTTGTAAAAAATCGTATTTCCATATGTGGTGAGTCTGTCTCTAGAGTAGTGCTGTCCAACTGAACTTTTTGCAGTGATGGAAATATTCCACATCTGCATTGTCTGGTGCAGTAGGATGGCACTGAATCTAGGGATCAGTCTGGGAGTATTGATGTCTTAAAACATTGAGTCTTACACAATTCATGTATATGGTGTATCTCAACATTTATGTTTTTTACATTTTCTTTTAATAATGTTATTAAAGTTATTAAATAATGTATTATAGTTTTCTATGTAGAGGTCTTACACGTTTTCTTGAATATACTCTGAGTTGGCTAGTGTTCTTTAACACTATTGTAAATGATATTTAAATATATATATTTAAATTTAATTTTTGGTGAAAATATACACATCAAAACATGCTCCCATTCCACAATTTCTGCACATACTGTTCAGTGACATTGGCTACATTCTTCACATTGTGTCAACATCCTCATTATGTCTGTGCTACTTGTTTCACCCCCATTACGTTAGACTCACTGCCCTCTAAGCTTCTCATCTATGCTTTAGAGTTACTGTTGTTCCTTAGGTCTCATGTAATTTTTTTTTTTAAAGTACACTACTTAACGGTGACATTTTTTACTTTTTCAGCTAAACTGTTTTGTTTTATTTAAAGATGACTTTAAACAAAAGTTTAAAGGTTTCAAGGTTTGAAGAGTATCTCAGGGCAATAGGTGGGGGTTCCTCCAGTCTCAATGGGTCCAGTAAGTAAGGATTCTTTAGGAATTTGAAATTCTGTTCTACATTTTTTCCCTTTTCATTTATTATGTCCCTGATCAAAACATTTGATAATGGTATTAAAATATATTTTATTTTCTAAATGTTTGTGCTGGTATTAAAAAAAACAAACAAACCTGTTGTCATTGAGTCATTTCTGATC